GTAATCATGTTTAGAAAAAAATGAATTTTGTAAGAATGGAAGAAGTCAACCTCAGAATATTAACAAATAATTAAAAAAGAAAGCTTATATCAACTTTTGAAAAAAAAAAAAAAGGAGTTCTTATTTGAGAAGATATTTTTAGCAAGCTGAAAACATTGTTTCATAGCATGCATTAATTTTCAACATTCTCATTTCAGACATATTGAAAGTATCCAAATGGCAGCTTCCAATCTGACACAGGAAATGAAATCACATCTTGTTTTTGACACCAAGCATGACAACTCATAGATAGTCAGCATTATGAAAGTGGCTAGGCCTTTTATGTTTAATGTCAGGAACAGGCTAGAGCTCTCTAGTAAGAATATTTCATCCATGACATATTCAAAGTAGTCAAACATTATAAGATCAAATTTCATCCAGCAGGTCCATGATGTCATTAGTCATGATCCCCAGTAAGTTGATGCAGCCCATCATTGAGCATTTCAAAGAGGTGGAATCCACTATCAGACATTGTGGTACATGTAGACATGATGAGAACAATTCATGGTAGACAAAATCCATAAGAACTATGTGATCTGATTTAAGCATTTGTTGAACAAACTCAAGAATTCAAAGAGCCAGAAATGCTTTGGTTTGTCTCTGAGAATTTCAACCAGGACCAGAAGGTAAACATGGTTCTGTGCAAACCCCATAGAGTTACTGACAATAATGTACATCAAATTCATGTCGTCTTTGATAGTCCAGGGGATCAGGAATAATAAGAATCATGCCATTCTACCCCACAGGGTTTTCAGGCTAAATGCCTTTGACTATATAGGTTCTAGACAGTTGTGGAGTCTTAGATCAAGGGATTGCTGAGAAAGAGGACAGTTTTATTCAATAACCTTTTTCTGCATAAGTTGAACAGGTGTGCAAATATTTTTTTATGTTATAATTTGTTCTCAGTTACTTGGTGAACCTTGTATTTTCATTTTTGTCTTGTAGCAAAGAGTAGCCATCTCATTAAGAGACAAACCAGTAATGGAAATAGAACTTGATTCAAAAGACATTTATGATTTGAAGTTCATTTTGTTATATTTCAAAGTTTAGTAGTTAGAATAATTTTTTGCAAATTTATTTTCAATGTGGCAATATCCAAACATGATAGAAAATAAAATGAAAAATGTTACTGAAAGTGTGTGTGTGTGTGTGTGTGTGTGTATGTGAAAATTATAGTTTTAAGGTATGCTATATTTATGAGTTAAAGTGCTTGATATCAAGGATAGAGTTGAATGTATATTTAAAAAGTGGACATTGAGGTCAACACCTAGAGGTGACAGTCTGTTTCATGCCTTATATATATATATATATATATATATATATATATATATATATATATATATATATAAAAGTGAACAGTGAGGTCATATATATAATTTGGAATAAATAAATAAAACTCACAAAACATATTCCTTGATTTCTGTTGGTAACTTTATTTGTATACAGATTTATTGAAAGAAAAGTAAAACAAATTAGAATTGCTCAATATGAAGTCAATTTGTTAAGCAAACAATTCCAAGAATGGAAAATGGCTGAAATAATTTTGACAAGATGCAGTGTACAGGCAGGTCATGCAAAATAAAGACAAAATGGAAAAAGTACTTAATCTTTGGATAATCTCACATGGTATATAACTTTTCAAACATTTTTATTATAAGAATTTTCATTGTGTATATAAATAAATAATTGACAAAAGAGGGAAGTATGAATTCTCTTTCTACATTTTGCTGTAGCAAGAGTGGTTCAATTATAAATGTAGGCTTTTGCTATCTTAGCAAATTTTAAAATTAATTTTGATTTCTTTAGATTTAATTGGAAGGAAACAGAAAAGTAATAGATGCGTTCCCATATGAAATAAGGTAAAAAAGAAAATAAAAAAATATAACATTGAAAACAACTCACCACAGAAGCAAGTAAAGTGACCATAATAAGGGAGGTAACTCTGTATATCTTCGCAGCCGGATTGTAAACAAGCAACAAATAAGACAAATGCATACACCCACATTTTGGCCAGTCACCTTCCACCTTTACAATTTTTGCAATGAATCGATTCTATTTTTGATTCACAGAATTTTTAAAACATAATTTTCTCATAACTAATATTAAAATGAAAACTAATATTTATATTTTTATTTCTCATCAAATTTTGTTTTGCTAGTTTAACATTATCAATTTATTGCCATTAAAATAGATGAATAAAACATGCTTTATTCTGAGAAATATATGGATGGATATTGTCTATCATGTTGAAAAGTTATCATTATCCCAAAGTTAGTCAGACAGCTAAACCATTTTTTTTTCTTTTTCTTTTTACTTGTTATAGTGTTACTATTTTTCAGCCATTCTATTTTACAGCCTTTTTCAAACGTACAGGAAGTGAGGGTCTCTTTTCTTAGTAATGCTACTTTTTGCTTTGTATTACCAAAAGACTTTAGATTCCCCGTGGTGTGTACAGCTATAATCAGACTATGCCAGAAGGTACTACTGTGGCTTAGTAACAACTAGATTTTATGGGATTAAGTTGTCAGCTTCACATCCAAAAAGTTTGTCTTTCATGTAGAATAGTTGCCAACCAAAGTTAGAGGGCCTCATTTATGCTGCTATAACCAGGAGGGGAAAACATAAATTCTTGCCTTTCTCAAGAGTATTAGTATGGAGTGATTGTAATAGACAACCTGCCCATTTTACTTATAGATTGACTACTTAAACTATTTATTATATTGTTTATTGGAATGGTTGGCAAAACATCAGCCAATAGATTTGAACTTTATAAAATGGTAAATAATAAGAATTTCCTTAGAGTTGGTGCACATAATAATTTAGTAAAGGTTTGTAAATTTATGAATAACTAATTTTCATATTTATTTCTTTATAAATTAATAAATGATAAATATTGTATTGCATTAGTTTTAATTGTATTAGTTTTTAGAATTTTGTAAATATGAAATTATTCTTGTAAATAAACAATCTAATAAATAAATAGTGTTTAATATTTTTGTTGTAAATTCTCAAGAACAAAAAAATAAACTGTATAAATTCACTTTTGTCATATGTTTAGGTATTACTACAATTCTAATCACTGCTTTTTAAAACAATAAACATTGCTGAGGAGTGAAGGTAGTAGTTAAAATAATAGTGGTATCAATGGAAAAACCATCCTTTTTTTTTTTGTGAGGTTCAAGTTGGTCAAATTTTCATTTTCATCCTTCTTTACTAAGAAAGTGAAGCTAACACCACAAAACAAACACCATTTGTTATTCACCATTAGATTAAACAATGTTTTCATTGTCAAAAATACTTAGATATTTTCTTGAATAATAAAATAGAGAAAAGATAATTTCTAATGGAGAGTGTGCACAAAAAGCTTATTGCAATATGTAAAGGTGGGAAGGTTTGAGGATGGATACAACCAACACTTGATTTTGCAATAAAAATAAACATTCCAGGTTTTTATTTTTATACTTTATTCAATTATATATTAATTATAGTATAACAAAACATTTGGAATTGATGTCTGGTTAACCAGATGGACGTAAAAGGTTGGAGTGGGAAGGGTCGTAAAAGCCATAGTGAAAAAGTAAGTTCACATTGCTGACAATTGCTGTATGCAATGAATAGGTGTGTATGCGTGTTGAGGAATAAATTAATGTATTTATGCTTGGCGAGTGTAGTTTTATGTGTGTATGCAGAGAAACTGTAATTTTTTGTGTGCCTTAATAAAATTTATGTATATATCCATGCATGTAATTTTTACATCTGTTAAATTGTGTGTATTTCTTTTTAAAAAGATCTCTGTCCCACATTAAATGGCAGTGGTCAAAAGTAGAAATTGTTAAGCCACAAAAAGGCAAAAAGAAGCATAGTGTTATATATTTATTATTATTCTGCCGGACATGGAATGCTTAAACAGATGCAATATATAACAGATCTTTTGCACTTAAATCAAAGATAGAATAAATTTTATGTATAGTGCATTCATTCTAGATTTAATGATGATTATCAAGAAAACAAACAGAATTATTTAGTAGTGAAAATAGCTGACATAAGAAAAAGAATCTATGAAGGAGTACTGAAAAGTTCTCAACCCAAACAAGAAAACCTAATAATAAAAAAAAAAAAAGTTTGGTTATTTTCATGGGTTGAACCAAGAACTTTTCCCTTATAGACATGCATACATATAAAAGGTAGAGATGCTGCAAATGTGCAGGTGAATATTTCTGTATAGTTTTATCTGTGTGTGTGTATGTCTTTCATTACCTTTATTCTACCTAAGTAATAACAAAGTAAAGGTTAACAAACTGAACTGAAGACTTTTAAAGGTAAATAAGAATTAATGGAAGTCAGTCCACAGGGAAAGACTCAATCTGATGATTTTTTTATGCAAGATCAAACAAGAACAATATTGTTTAAATTGTACTTTAAGCCACCTATTCATTACAATAGGTTAATTTGTAGTTTTGATAGGGATTTATAAAGACTGCAATTTTAATTAATATGAATGTATTTCTCTTGAACAATAGAAAATTTCAATTGAAAATAAAAGAACTATCATCATCATTGTTTTAGGTATACAAAAGAAACTGTGAGCATGCACTTAATATATAAATAATAACAAGATTCACATGTATCTTTGTGAATATATTTCTGTGTAAATGTAAAAATGTAAGATTATGTGAAATAATCAATATCACGGAAAACAGATTTGGATATTTATGTGAAATGTATTTGCATTTTGAAAGCTTTTGTATGTATCAGTGTGTGGGCAAGAGTTATAAAGAAAATGAGTCAAAAATTTGTAAAGAATAGATAAGAGTTCCAACTAGTTATGGTCAAAGAGTAAGGTGGTTTGTAGTTGGTGGAGGGATTGGTATGTGAAAGGGTAGGTGAGGGTCAGGAAGTATCAGCAGGAGGAGGAGCCGGCTCCCATTGCAGACTGGACAGTGAATTTTTGGTTATTTGTTTTAGTCAGTCTGGAAACACATCAGCTGGAACTGCATCTGCGATTTGTGCTTGTTGAGCAGCTCGTCCATCATCCTGTAAAGATGACCAACATACTCAATTACACTACATGACCATGGTCAGTCACTCAATGGCAGCCATAGACAATGCCAAGTATGGCGATGGCCACATATACAGTTAGTAGCCAATCAACAAGAGAATTTTTTCTTTCTGGCTTAATTGCTCACTTTATATATATATATATATATATATATATATATAAAGAATTCAATGTAATTTTGTTTGAAGCAACTTAAAGCAAAGTGCAAAAAAATTGCCTATGAGATTTTAATGAGTTTAAATGAGCAAGTGCTGAGCAGAAATAGGGGCTAGATATTGGGTTAGAAATGAAAGTTCAATATCTAATCACTCAATGCAAATGAAACAATTGACACTCAGAAAAGGTAGCAAAATTAGAACTATCACTAGTACTTGTTTAAACAAGTCATGTGGACACACCTCCCAAAACTTACTGTTCATTTCAGGTGCTATTCTTTGCAATATAACTATGCAGACATTGTGGTATAATCAAAAATAGTTTCAACTTATTCATCCCAATATTATTCTTCTACCTAACACTGTAAATATATAGAATTACTACAGTCAGAAATGAGATTTTGAACAACCAGAAACAATGTCAGAATAAAAAAATTAAATCCTTCTGTGAAGAAATTATTGTTCATGTAGAACCTGAAATATTTAATAAAGTAGAATTAAGTAATAGCTTTCATTGATACATGTTTATAAATATTAATAATTATTTATGGAAATACTATGGTAATGTTTAGTACACTTCCTTTGATAAAAGTCAAAAGATTAGCCTTGTAATTACATCTAATACAATCAAAGATAAAGCTGTCTCTACCAATAGCTAAAATAATAAAAATCTGCCATCTAATCACCAATCAATGCTACTTCACATTCAATATAAAGATTGTTACAAACAAAAATTTGGATTACCAATGAGATTGCCTATCAGTGGAGTGATGACATGTATCTTTTTAGAATTTCTTGAATCTGGTCCTTTCCAAATCATTTTACCAAAACAATCAACTTTTGTTATATGCTCTACTTACATATCCTTATGATACAGATTTACCTGACCTAGTAGATCAACTAAACAAAGCCAAACAATAGAATTTACATATGAAATGGAAGAACACAATTCCTTTCCCTTCCTAGATATCAAGCTACACTGTATTAATAACAGTTTAAACTCGGTGTCCACTCGAAATCAACCAACAAAAACAACCTAATAAATAACTATTCCCATCATGACAACAAAATAAAATCCACCATAATCATCAGATGTAGCTTGGATTATCTACACAAAGAAGAGAAATACATTGAAAACACTTTCAAACTTCTCCAGTATCTTAATTTATATTCAATTCAAAGGGCTCACAAAATATTCCAAAACAAAAAATGGCCCCTCCTGAGAAACCCAATGAATCAAAAAAAAAATATTATCCTGCCTACAAATTCTAACACATCTACAATAAAAGTCATTACTACTACATCCCAAAAAATAAGACTTGGTTGATACTAAATAAAATAAGCTAAATCTTAGAGGAGTTTACTCCATTGCCTGTAATATTTGTCACAAAAAATACATAGGAGAAACCACAAGGAATCAAAAGATTATATGAACACAACAGGGACATTTTACAAAATAATATATCAAATGCATTTGTTGCCCACCATAACAACACTGACCACAACTTTGACATAAAAAATGTTACCATGATCAAAGGAGAAAAGAATTCACTATGATGTAAATGTCTAGAGAGTGCCTTAATCACAAGGTCATCTACAGTAAATTTACACCCTGGTTCTTGCAACATTTCACTATTCCTGGAAGATCTTCTAATATCACAGTGGGGAATACCTACTTACAAAAGTGATGGAAAAAAACCCCAAAAAAATCTAAATGAAGTCGTCTGAAAAAATTCTAAAATTCCCAGCACCCCCTCTGCTGTGCACATATGTAGTCCTACCAATATAACAAAATTAGGCCAATGAAATCATGAAGTACAAAACAATTGCTTAATAAGAGATCTATAACAATATTTTATGTATATTAAAATATTATTATTTACTAACAGTAAATAAGCACAGTCAAAATTCAAGAACTATTTTGGCTAAATAAATATTTCTGTATTAACCAATTTTGATTTATTGGAGTTTCATTTTAGGACATTTTTGTAGAGATTACTGACAATCAATTATAGACTGACATTATCACATAAATGTAAAAATAAATGAAATGAGAAAAATGTCAGTCAATTGCTGAAACATCCTGAAGAGAGGACTGAACAATAATGGAAAATTTTGTCTATGAAACTCTGGAGTCAAGGTGCTGAATTAGCTAAGTGACAAATTTTATTTGCATTAATCCTACACACACACACATATATATATATATATATATATATATATATATATATATATGAAGAAATATAGTCTTAAGATGTGCTATATTTATGGGATAAAGTGCTCAATATCAGAGATAGAGCATGTGTAAATATAAAAGTGAACATAGAAGTCAACGCTTAAAGGCGACAGTCTGTTTCATAACCTGTGTGGCCTGACAATTGCATCTAGCATGAAACAGACTGTCGCCTCTAAGTGTTGACTTCTATGTTCATTTATATATATATATATATATATATATATATATATAAAGTATTACAACATATTTTTATATATTATTAATGTTAAAAAATGAGAGAATTTACTTGATTTATTTATGGCTAATATTAAACAATCAATTATGTGAAAGTGGTGCTTTAATACATGCATCTTATAAATCCAATTGTTATTCATTCAATTTTATTATAATTAAACCCTCCTCTTTTTGGTGAGGTTCTGTTATGGATATTTATGTGTGTGACAACTGAATGTTTTTATGAGAAAACTTTTTGCAATATGACACTGAATGACCAACTTTACTTATAACATCATGGGGTTAGATAATATCTATTTTTTAGGTTGGTATACTTATGTACCTATTCACTTTTCTTCAGATCTACTCATTAATCCATGATAATATGTGAAATCCGCTGTCAGTTTTTCTTCTTGTTTTACTCATAACATATCCAGACTTCTGGCCTTGATTGAATGTTATGTGCTTCATTCTCTAGGACAGATAATGATCTGTGTAGTCAAAATTTACCTGCTTGCACAGCTCTCAGTAGATTACCTTCCACACCCATTCATGGTGATTCTTGTATTCTTTCTGAACCAACTTGCAACTATTGCTGATTATACAGTTCCCCATTTCATCCTTATTTCCACACAATTTACATTTGCCATTTTCCCATGTTTCATCTATTATTAAATAAGCCTTAAAAAATTAACTGTTGGAATTCAGAAAATTATTGTGAAATCATAACTGCTTTAAGAGTATTTCTAACAGTTTACATTCAACTGTTAAAAAGATTGGCTAAAATTTTTGCAAATTAACAGGAACATTGCATATCTAAAAGCAGAAGTAGCGATGAAAATAACATCTGAAAATGGATGCAAAATGTACAGGCTGAAATACTAAAAGTGTGACTCGAATGATGCCTTGAGTCACAACAAATCCTTGAAAACAAAAAATTTGCTGGATACAAGTTGTACAGATAGCAAAAGAGGGTATGTTTGGTAGTTTATATACTTACAGATTTTAAAATAACTTAATAAATAAATATCAGTCTGTCTACTCATTCAAAAATGAAAGTCATTTTCCTTCATTATCTTTCACTTAGTTTTCTATTGCATGAAGTTTAATATATGACTAGCTTCTATTATTTAATGCTGCTTCTAGATAGAAGCCATTAACAACAAGCATATATTTTTCCTTTTAATTTCATAGGTATTCTTTAAAATTTGGGAATAGAATGAAAATTATTTCAAAAACTGTATATATTATTTTTTTCATTTTTATCAATCAATACATTATCTGTCTTGATGATCTTATGAAGATGGCACATATTTGTTAACTGTACTGCAGTATCTTGAATGAAAATAATAAAATTTGTGTCATTTTCATTTAAACCTTTCACAAAATATTTATCATGCAATTTGAAGCGTTTATTTTTGGGTGAAATATTTTTTATGATGCTGCTGTAAGGTTTCACATTATTTTGATTCTAATATGTATAATGTCACCTTAGTAAAGTGCATGTACACACAAGCTTGGCAATTTAGATTTAATATTTTTTCTGGAAAAATAAATCAACCAATGTAATTTTTCCTTTTTCCTAATATGAAAGTCTTTTAAAAGGAGAGAATTTACAGAGAATAGAAAGAGAAAATATTTTCTATAGCATTTAGATTCCAAATTATTCTTTCTTCTCTTTGAAATGTTCTTCTTCAAAATGAAATAAAACATGGATGTAACATTGAAAATATCTAAATGTGTATGTTTTGACAAATACATAGATAAGGACATATTCATCCACTATTGATTTCAACATAATAGAAAGTCAATCTAGGTTCACAAATATACAGAGCTTTCCAAATGCACACACAATATCAGCTAATTTAGAGCCTACCACAATAAAAATAAGAGATACAGCTACAAAACTTTACAGAATGGGAACAATTTACTGACTAAACACATGCAGCTAACAAAATATAATCAATGAAACAAAGTTACACAACATGCATATTTTTATTGATAAAAGAAAACATCATTAAAAATCCAATTCATTGATACATTAAAAAATTAGACAACAGGCAAAAAGCTTTTGTGCTTTTTAAGTGTCAACTGCAATTCAAAACTCAGTTCAGATTTTGATATAATTGTTTTTATTCTAATAATAAATTCATATACTTAACCTAATATTGCTATTGTTAACTGTTTTTTTCTCTTTTTCAGTAGAACTACTGGTTCTGAAATTATTAATCCATTTTTTTAGTTTAAATTCATTAAGATACATGTAAGTAACAGACTAATTTCTTTTGTTCTCTTTTCTGATTAGAACATTAAAAATCAATACAATGATTTAAATGAAGAAAAAGTATTACAAAATGCATTGTTAATTTGTTATTACTTGTGGTTTCAATATACTTTTATTTTTTTTTTGTTTTTAAAAGTGGATATGGCAAAAGAGACAATAACCATTTTAAAATTCATTTGAGTCAAAGCAGTTCCAGCTAATTTTGGCATTTCTGTCAATATATCTTGTACCTAAATTTAAAGCCTGAGCTCTTTAATTTTTTGAGTTTTCTGATAGGAGTTATATTTTTTTTATTTGAAGTTCACAAAAATATTTCTCGTTTTATTCTTGAAAGATAAAATTTTAGCAAATTACATTTCTTTGTACTCTAAAATATCAATGGATAAGAACCAAAGCATTTCAAAACAAAAAAGTTAGTGAGCTTTACAAAAAAAGAAAATTAAAGAATAAAAAAACAATACTTAGAAGAGAAGTGATCAGAGTATGCAAAAGTATTTCTATTCAGGCTTTATGAAAACCACAATGAATTAAAAATTCTTTTAACACTTTTTCTTTTGGCTTCCCTTTATGTCTTAATGATTTCTACAATAAGGAAAAAAACTCCAAAGAAAACATTAACTAGAATAGGATAGAATCAAGAAAGATTTTAATCTGATGGTTTATATTCCCAATGTACATTTAAAACAAATATTCACCATTCATACATTAAAACATGGTGCAAAGAATGGAATGAGAAAAGTTTAGATTACATCAATATGACAACTAGCTGAGAAGATTTACCAAAAGTCTATGGCAGAGCATAAGCTTTAAATTTTGTCAACTAACAAAAATTGTTATGGTTAAACTACAGATTTTACAAGTACACAGTTATTGGCCTTAATTTTTAATTAGTTTTCCTTTTACAACTTCAAGTATATAAAAAAAATGAATGCTGATTTTTTTGTCTGGTAGGCCCTTTCCACTTGGAAGTCTGGTATTAGTCTTCCCCTTCTCCCTCCCCACCCACTTGTGTCATACTAAAGCTAATGCAATATCAAATGTCATCTAGTAAGCGAAGGACATAAAATACCCATTCATGCATTGCAGAAAGAAAATCATGTGAAAAAAATTTAAATAGGCTGTAATAATTCAAGTTTATACATAACACATTCATCCATTTTGAAAAATCCTCTTGTCATGATTCTAACTGCCTAGTCATATATCTAATATTTTCAACAGGTTTCAGCTATAGCCATCCCTAAATTTTATGCCAGTTACATTTTTATCAAAAATTGGCTCAGCTCTTTAAAATTAGGTACTCATATATGGCATTGGTTTTAATAATAGTTATATAGATTTAGTTTGGTTTGTTTGTTTTACCAGCATATCAACACTTTTGGGTCAGTTAAGCCAAATATATAGATGAAAAATATTAATAATACATATATAGAAGTAAAATTATTAACTGCTGGCAGCATGAAGCTATAAGAGGGTGTTGAAAGGTTCAAAGCCTGACACACTTCCCAAAATTTGAGCTTTATTTTCTCACTGCTTTAATTTGACTTAACCATGTCAACAAAATATGTGAAATCTTCAAATGTTAAACTTCAAGCTATCATTGTGATGTTCATGTTCCTGCAGAACACAAGTTCAAGAGAAATTCAGGAGTGCATGATGCAAACATTGAGTGACAAATGCTTGTTATACTCAACTATGAAAAAATGGTGTACCAATTTCCATCATGAAGATCTTGCAACTCAAGACGTAGCATGGTACCAAATACCAAAATTGTTGATCATGTTCATGATCTTATTTTAACTAATGAATGGATCTGAGCCAAAACAACTGCTGAAACATCAAAGATATCCAGCAAATCTATTTATAATTTATGAGCAGTTGGATATGTAGAAACTCTCAGTCAAGTGGGTGCCTGAATGTTTGGATGTCAAATAGAAATGATATTAAGTGGACACCTCCAAGATTATTTTGCAGCATTTGCAACAATATAATAATAATTTTTCTTGTCATTGTTGATGAAACATAGTTACACCATTATGATCCAGAAGCCAAACATACTCCATGTCCAAAAGAAGTCACATTATTTTTTTATTAGGATCAGAAAAGTATTTTGCTTATTGGCTATCTTCAAACAGGCCAAACAGTTAATGCAGAATACAGCTAATTTGTTGTGCTGATTAAAAGAGGCATTGAAAGAAAAACAATGGTGATTTGGATTTTGAGAAGACAGGTTAGGAAGTTTATTATTAATAATATAATGTATGCTAGTTATGAACAAATGCAACATATTTTTGCCTAGTAAAATCCATTATTTTATTTAAACTATGTTAATCTGGCATTTAAGAAAGAAATTCTGTTAAAAATGAAAAACGAAAATTTAAAAAATTGTTTTCAATATTAACAAGATTATTTTTTATTTTTCATTTTGGAAAATAATTGTTTAAAATTGAAAAATGATTTATGCAAAAGATTTTGCATACATTTTCTTGAAACCCCTTTGTGGACTTCTAATTATTTCGAGATCTTAAACTGAAATCTACCAATTTAAATCTATTGTATTTCATATCAATTTATAACAGCTTGTCAGTTGTTTGTAGAATTTGCTTATAGTTTTGAACTTAGCTTATATAAAATATTTGTTGATAAGAATCAGATTGGAAACAACTTACTAGAATGTGTTATTTTGTGGGAGAAGCCATCTTTCCATACACATTGTGTAAGCCAAAAGAGAACAGGATCAAAGATCATTGCTAAAAAGAAAAGCATATTAAGCTGGCATAATAAAATAAAAATATGACACTCACTTCTTATTGGGTCCAACAGGAGGCAATATTGCAAGTCCTTCTTGGAAATGTTTCCTGCAAAATAAAACCAAAAAGATTTTTCTTATTTTTTTTCTAAATGAATTTTGTAAATATGAAAATATTTATTCCAAGAGTTAATTGGATAACTGAATTATCTTTGTATTTATGTTCTCATATTTTAACATTTTTGGTCAATTATGAAAAGAAGAGGGTTCTTTTTTACTAATAGAGCAAAGGAGAAAATTCAAAACAATGTTTATAAGTTATTTCATTTTCAATAACACACTGAAGAATTTATATTACAAGTATTACTGTAATTGTTTCAAAGTTTTTCTTTGATACTGTTTTTTTGCATTCACTCTCTTTCCATTAACCATTACAATGAGTGCGCTTTATGAAGACCCTAGAATAGATTTGTCAAAACATTGTGGGGACAAAACAAAAAAAGAAAAAAAAAAGAATGAATTTAACTGTCCAAATAACACCTGGTTAATGACTTCTCAAAATTACAGAAATATGAAAATATTTAATCAAATTATCATATTATGAATTGGCTAATTTCATTTATTCTCTGACATAACATTAAATTGTGAAAATTGCATGACACAATTACTAAAGTAAAAACTATATATATTTTGTTTGCAAAAAGATTCTAAGTGGGAAGATAATGTAATAACTACTTTACATTTAAGAGTCATGAAACCAAATCTTAATCTAAAAATGCATGCAGAACAGTCAGGAGAAATTTTGTAAGCATCATGCATTATTTACTTTGTTTTTTGACTATATCCTAATTTTTTATATCGGTTCAGAGATTCAAACACAAAGCAGTTATATTAAATACTTGTTAAAGATAAAGATCAACAAAAGTTTTTACCAAATAAGCAATATACACACCCTTCAGGCTTGCTTATAAGAAGAAAAAAAATAATCAATAACGAATGTAATACTTACATGGCACCATCAGTTCGATAACGGATAACAGCGTCTTGTAGGGCTGTCAGTTCCAGGCGAGCCTGTGGTGAAAGTATATGGGGGTGTAATGTAATAAATAATATTTCTTTTTGATGTTTACTTTTGACACATTACATAATTCACAGAATAGGAGCCACAGTTTATGTGGATATGTGGAAAAGATAACAGTGTTAACCCTAGACTTAAACAGGTTAAGATTTATCACTATATAATAAAGTGTTCATTGGCTGAAAGGTCTTTTTTGTGTATGTAGCTATACATAAGAGACCAGGTTCAATTGCTCATTTTAGTTATTTATTATAAAAAAAATAAATCTCACCATTAATTCTCATTTTACTTTGGTAAGATACAAATAGGCTTAAAGTTAAATTTTAATTTTTACTACAGAAATTTCTTGTTCATCTCTTTCAAAATGATTTTCTGGTTGACAAATATACTGCATTATAAAACTATAAATATAAAAAAAAAATTGTTTTAAATATTTTACTTAATATAATTGTTTTATAAATCAAGAAAGCAATTTTGTTGTAAGATTCCAATAAATTGTTCAATTGCTAAGAACTGAAACCTACTCTCCAATCACCTTCTATTTCCAAATTTGCATAAAAAAATTGATTCATTTTGTATTGTTGTATATATTTCATCATAATCTGTACCATAATTAAGGATTTTTTAAAATTCTACTCTGGAAGTTATTTTAATAATTCCAAGTCACTAATAGATGACTAAAGATAACAGTTAACTTTCAACAAATGGAATGCACCTTTTATAGTTTGGAGCCAATAATAGGCCACAAAGAAATTACTGTCCTCAATTCTTTACCAGTTACATAAAGCATAATTTTATTTTAATACTGACATGATGAAAAATATTCAAATAGTTTAGTATACAGGTTTGAAGCTGGGAGCATTGTTGTCTTCACTTACTTGTAAGGATCCATTTGTATTAAACCCTGTGCTGCATAATATTAACCGAGACAATTCCTCAGCAACAGCCTCCACCACTTTGCACATGACCCGAGGAACAAATGAAGGTGAAATTGCATAAACCTGTGCAAAAAAGGAAAAAAAAAAGGACCAGAATTATTAGAAAAACGTTTTGCTTCTTTTGTGACAAACAAACATAGATTCTCACTATTTTCTAAAGTTACTTAGTTTATTTATATCATATTGATAACAATTCTTTTTCTGAAATATATGTCGATTTTTGTTTTAAGTGGTTATATTTATATCTACTTTCATAGAAAACTTGTTTTCATAATTCATAAGCTTTAGCAAGAAACCAAAACATTTCCTGCAAATTACAAAAATGTGTTTAGTTTTATCAATTTCTCCAGTGCATACAAAATAGTGACTTGGTTCATTCAATTCTTTTTCTGCTAGTTTTAAATCATAAATTCCCATTAAATTATCTTTTTTACTTAAATTTATATGAATTATTTTAATAACAAATTTTACAATTTCTTCTACTTCTATTTTTCTTTCAATGCTATTTTCTATATAACATATTTCTGCTTCTCTTTAGGGCAGTGATCTTGGATTAACTTGAAACTAATTCAAGAGAAAATACCTTGCTTAATAAGTAATAAAATCTAGTTTATTTACAAGGAGGAGGAGACAGGTAAATATATGCACAGTTAAAACATGCAAGTGTGATATTTTTATAGGAAAGGTACATTTAAAACTTTTATTTTTTTATCTATGCTTTCGCATTAACAATTCACTTTGATGCACTTACAGCCTGCATAAAATCAAGTTGATGTAATTTAGGTTAGCATAATATTACAAATAGTTGTTATTACATCACTTATCAATTTACTGATTCTGAAAGGCTAAAAGATTATCAAAGTATAGTTAAACTATTCAGATAGAACTGAATGTGATTGTCTGCTAAAGTAGTACAAGAAAAGTAGTGTTTCTTTACATCCAAAAGACATGAATTTTAGTAAATAGCTTCATAGAAACAATATAACATCTTTTATTTTTTCATCTACATTTAATGACTTTCTTGTTCAAATGTTTATAGGAATACTAAATAAAAGCAGTGATATATATATATATATATATATATATATATATATATATATATATATATATATATTCTTTAATGTCCACTGTCCAAGTTCTTTTATCATAAATGGAGCAACAAGCATTTAAGAAAATATGTCTAATAAATTCTTCTTTGTTACCAAAATGAAACTGCTCTCTTAATTGTCTGAGAGAAGCTTTATTGCTTTTCATTAGCATATAGCTGATGCTAACCTCTAGAAGTGTGACTTATTGTGCCTTCTCTGACTAATATTTTCTGGTGATATGAAATGGGAAGATTATATCAATTGTTGCAGTCTGCAGCTATGAAAGTTGTTTCACTGTGCCATGCTAGACAATTTTTCTTGCTAAAATCCATCTTACATATTTATAAGTGCCATTTGTCCTTTCTTTGAATATTGCTGCCACTCCTACTATATATTTAGAAATTTTTGATAAGATCCAAAGAAGGATCTGCAATGTTATTGGTCCTGACCTGACATCTCAACTTCAGTCACTTTTCCACTACTGTAATGTACCTTCCCTGTGCCTTTTCTATAAATACTTTCATGGGAATTATTTAGATGAACTTTCATCTATGGTACCTAGACTTTATAAATTTAAGCACAGTACTAGATTGGTGGCAGGGTCCCATCGTTTTACAGTTGAAACAGCTAGATGTAACTATAAATTCTATGCTAATAGTTTCTTCTATTGCACTTCTTGCTTGTGGAACTCTCTTCTGGCTTCTTGCTTTCTAGTCAACTTTGATCTTCTAGAATTTAAATGCAATGTCAATTTTCACCTTACGTTTAATTCCTGTTCTTTTCTCATATTCTCTAACACTCAGTAACCCCCTTAAATCTTAGTGGCTTTATTGCCTTGATTGGGGTGAAATGATTCAAAAATAATTTCCACTAAAACTTTTACTGGTAGTGAAAGTTTCATTGCTAATCAGAGTTTGGCTTAGAAATATATCTAACAGATGGAATCATAATAATGCAAGCAATGTTATTTATAGATTTGTAGGTTATTTAAAGACAGAAAATTGTATTGTAAGAATATTTTTTGAGATAATAGTGATACAAGTATTACTAATTAACCCATAAGCAAGGAGAGAAGAGGTGTATTCATACCTTTTCCTCTAAGTGAATATAACAAACCTCAATGGGAATTGGAACTCAGTTCTTTGATTAACAACTCTGAGCCATTATCCATTACAGCACCTGGTATTCCCAAATCATCACATATCTATGTACTGATCAGGGTTGATGTTGATTAACTTCAGTGATCACACAGGAACTGGCATTTCAACATGATGTGGCTGTAAGCCATTTAGTGACTTGAGGTAATGAAAGTGTTAAGAATTTTAGATGAAGGAATAAAAATGCCAAGTGGAAAAATTATAGGAGACTAGTTAATCAGATTTGAACCTGATAGAAGAAGGTTCTGTTTAAGCATATTAACCAGAATCTATAAAATGCTTAGGAGAGTGGCATTAGTAGGAACCAAAAATAAATCTAGTAAGATTTATTAAATTCAGTTCAATTGAATTTTCCCTACCATACTTCTAATCAAATGACAAGTATTTACCAAAATTTTGCAGAATGCAGATGAATTTGGAAATGTTTATTTGGAGCCAACAATGATAAGAGGTAAAATTTAGTACAGCAACTGATTGCAGGTGTATATTTAATGCTTCAACCAATTCTATGTGTGTGTATACAGGATGTGGCAAAAATACCTCCCACATTAGTGGCAATCATGTCTTCATCTAGCTAATGTCTTACGTATATGTGGGAGGTGTGGCACCATGCATACCTGACGAGTTGAAAGAAATATTCATAGATATATGATTTGTTTTTTACGGTTTATCAACCATTTAATAATTATTTAATAAAAAAATATTTTGGGTTTTAAGAATAATTTTCTTTACATTCAAGCAATCTGGGAGAAAGAAAGGGAAAACGAAGATTTGAAAAAAAAAATATGAAAACAGGTCATAATGGGCACACACACGGTTAGAACTGATAGATAACAGGTGTCGAAAATATTCAGGTCACCTGAGGAACAAGCATTTGACCGATTTTAGCGTAAAATTTTAATTAAAAAAAATGGAAGTTTGTTATCAATTGGATGTCACCCAAGGGAAAAGAAAGAAAGGTGGAAAAGAAGAAATGAAGTTTAGGGACAATGAAAATATTGATAAGTAACAAGTGGGAAAGTGTGTCATTGGAATGATAATAGAGGTCTAAGTTTTGGGGAAGTGTATCTAAGGATATGAAGACAAACCATTAATACGAAAACACAGACAGTCTTCAGAATTAGAAAAAAGCCCACACAAGATGTTTTCACTGGCAAAATTTTTCTTTTGACAGAATAAATGCCCGCCCTGCGATAATAAAGATTTTTGTTATCAAACCTTCAAGCAAAAAGGAAAATGAAATATTTTTATTTCGCTTCAGAAATGCCAACTAGTCTGAGAAATTCCTTTCTTAGATCATATCCAATTAGCGATAAACTGCTTGACAAATACCACGTGTTAAAAAGCCAAGAGTGTCATCTCAGTCGCTCATGATAAGGGCGATTTAATTAATATTTTTGTTTTTTAAGCAAGGTATTTCTTTCCCAAAACAAAGCCACGGATTTTCCACGCCCGACTAAGACGTCAGTGGCTAAATAGATCACATGACATATTTATTTGAAGGAGGAGGAAAGATACCCGACCAGGACCTCATTGGCCGAGAGCGGTCACGTGGAAAATGAGGAAAATCAAACCAAACATTTTTTCCGCTATCAGAAGTGATAAGTCACGAGGAGCCGAAACGAAGAACGGGGGAAGTGGGTACACGCCCTCAGAGGCACAGTAAGGGAGTGAGAGTGAGTTACCGAAAATGGGAAAGAATGAAAAATCCATGGTTTGATGTTGGACACTGCCCATCACTCTCTTGTGTGGAACAACGTGAATTTCTTGGGGCATCTAGCCAGTCTTACTGGCATCTTTCTGTGTGTCTGATGGTTTCTGTTGCAGCATTGCATGTGGTCTTCTGAATGGATGTCCACTTTTCTGTGATTTGTTGGGCACTGATTGGCATCACAAGATGATGCTTGAGAGCCACATTTTGATCAGTCAATTTTTGCATGTCAAATTTTCATGTCACAAGTTGTTTGACATGTCGGCATATGCATATTTGGATGCTGAGTTTTAACATATACAATTGGTGGTTCTTCCAGTAGTCAACCGGGGATAAAGTGTGTGATGAGTACATCTCTGCGGTCTCTCTGTCAGGTGATGGAATAATCTGAATGTTTCATTGTTTGGATAAGGAAAATGTTTGGTTATGAGAAACTGGTGGTCAGCACATGAGAAGGAGAAACCTGTTGTCATAGCAGTTCCCATGATCACAGGACTCCACATTGCAGCGTCATACCCAATTTGGGTACTGAAATCACCAAGGATAATCAGTTTGTCCCTTGGTGTAACAAGAGCTGAAGTCATTCAGTTGTCTGTAGAACTTGTCTTTCACATGTTCATCAGAGTCAAGAGTTGGCATGTAGACTGAGATGAGCATCAGGAAGATGGCATGAGGTAGAGGACATCGGGCGCTTATTGATAGCTTTGGGGAGGAGATTGTGTGCTTGCACCAGGGATGTTCTGATTGGTTTCATTTTCCAGAAGATGGAATATATGGATCCCACTTTATCAATTCTTCCTTCGTCTAATATTCTGGTTTCACTGAGGGCTACTACATCGATGATGAAGAATGCAAGCACCTTGCAGGCGAGAACAGTCCTCCATTTAGGCCTTTCACTATCTTGATGATTGAGGAGCATTCTAATGTTCCATGCACCATAATTGAAAAATTTTGGGTGACTGCAGGAAATGGGCAACCCCTTGCCATGGTTTTCCAGTTTATATATATATATATATATAGCAATGTCAAAGATAGCATGAAGCCAAAAATACTGACAGTCAATGGGATATTGAGAGAAAAGATATTTAAGGCAAACTGTTTTTACAA